ACCAAGCAACCCAGTCCCACAGAGAAGACGTGTCTAGATAGAATGGCCCTCCTCGGGCCACACCTCCCCCTCATCCGAGCCCCGCTACCACCACCAGACCTCAACCTCCCAAACACCAGAAAACCTACGTCCTTTTGGCGCTCTCACCGCCATCTCCCCCCTCCCCTGTCCGAGCGACCCCACCTCCCCCCGGCTCTCCAGCCCCCTACAACCTCGGAGCGGCACTAGGGAAGAAAAAGGGTTCTTCCCTGCACGACGTGACCGCCTCCATTCCCCGTCCTACTCCTCTCCCTCTCCCGCCTCGGGGTTCCCTCTCACCTATTCCCTCGTCCTCCAACCCCCATCCCCTTCGAACTCCTATACCCCCCGAGCCCTGCCCTACAAACTCAGCTCAAAGCGCTCTTAGGCAATAATTTCCACCGCTTCGGCGCACCGCAGTGCGCCTTCTGAAACCGACAGGATCGGGTGGTCGGGTCCCACCCTGTCCCAGCCTCTCCGCGGGGTGCCCAGCGCCGTGAAGGAGCGCAGACGCGCCCAGAAGTCCACCACTGCCCGGGCGCAGGCCCGCTCCAAGGGGGTTGCTGCGGGTGCTGCTGCCGCCGCGCCTGCCGTTGCTGCTACCGCCCCTGTCGCCGTGTTCCGCTCCTGCGTTTGGTCCTCATCCCCCGGCGCGTTCAGTGCAGGCCCCGTCTGCGGTCCTGCCCCGTCGGCCTGGATGAAAAAGTCCGTTATCCGCCTCTGCCTGGGGCCGGGTACCTGTACCTGCTGCGCGTGCTCCCGGTTCTGTGGTCCTTGGCTCCCAGCTCGTTCCTGCCTCCTGCCCGCTGCCCTCAGGCAGCATCTGCCAACCTCCATGGCAGACAGGGCCGACAGGGCGATTATATCCCATACGGCCTGTTCGCATCCGGTTGGGGCCAGTAATAGCCAGAGTTGCTTTCGGGTGACTCCCCCTACTGCCGCTTCCTGAGAAGACTGTAGATGCCGGTCGATCTGTGCCCGCACCGCCTGCGCCACCGGGCATTCCCAAAAGTGATGCATGCGTGGCGAGCATGGCTGACCAGCTGCTCCACCGAATCCGCCACATCCACAGCGTTCTGGAGTCATGCGGGCTAGGTGCGTGTTGCCCGGTAGGGGGACGCCATCCACTGCGAGCCGCCATAACGTCTCCTTATTCTCATTCTCCCATCGTACCCCGGACCACACTCGGGCCTGCGTCGCCCTGAATAGGCTGATTTCCGAGGGGGGCGGCGGCGACGGGCCCTGAGGATCCGTCGCCTCCCGCACAAATTCAGCTACCAGGCGTCTTCTCCTCTCCTCCATAGGCCCACATTGCAGCTGTGTCGCCAGGCGAACTGTGAGGCGTGCCAGCGGGATGGCTTCCGCCATCCCAGGTATACGCCACCCAATTCGCCCAGCAATCATACCCATCGCTTGCATGCTGGTCAGCAGTGGTGCTGGTGACGGTATGACAGCCTCCTCCCCTTCCGTTGCCGCTGCCATCGGTTCCGTTAGCCCCCGCTGCTGCTGCTGCTGCTGTCGCCGGGTCTCGACCGTTCTAGCAGCTTCGAGCCAGGCCGGGTTTATGCTGCTATGCAGCGCCGCGAGGGCTGCCCGGGTCACGGGTTTATCCCGCGTGGAGATCGGGGTAAGCGGGTCGAGGTGAGTCTGGGCCCACTCCAGCCACGCCGTCCTAGGGAGGGTTGCCAGATCGCTGCTCTCTGCCAGGGCCCAAACCCGCACCAGGTCCCCTACCGTCTGTAGTTTCCTGCAGGTGGCAAGCCCAGGGTATTGGTACTCCAGGCCGGGGCGGCGGCCCCGGTCCGTTGGGACGGTCCCTCCAGCATTGGGGAATAGCGGATTTCCCCATAATGCAGTCGCCCAGCACCAGTCACCGGGTGTCAGCGGGTTGGTCCCGATGTCCTCTGGTGGCGGCAAGTGCCCCAGGGCTCCCACAATCCGGCTGATATCCTTCGGCAGGTCACGAGTCCCAAGCCAGGGCCCAGTTGGGCTCGCGGTTGTCAGGGCCCACGGCTGGAAAGCGGGGTTCGTGAGCAGAAGGTAGGCTGAAAGCGTGCGGACCCAGGGGTGGATACCTCCGCCCACCTGCATATCTGTGTCTGTTGCGCCTGTATCTGATCTCGTGTTGCCTGTTCGCAGCCCTAGGGTTGCGATGACAAAACGAGCTGCCCACACCGCATGCCGGGCTTGGATGTGTTGCCGGAGGGGCAGCAAACCAAAGCCTCCTGTGGATGGGTGACCGATCAGGAGTTCCTTGGGCACGCCAGTCAAGCGTCGGCCAGGATCATCTGGGCCTTGTTGGCGGTCGACCAGGCGAGCCGTGAGTCGCTCTATCTCGTCCAGCACGCGGTCTGGGGCCAGTCCGCCATGTTCCATGTGCCAGGTGACCGTCTGCAAGCCATATGCCGACGCCGCCGTTGCCCTTCCAAATGCTGACAGCGGGAAGCGGGACAGACGCTGCATCCGCCGTTTGGCCTCTCCCAGCCTCTTCGTCCAGTCCGGCTGTGGTGGGGTCACCTGGTTGTCTATCGGCAGGTTCAGGGCGGTAGCAGTGGTTACCACCTTAAGTCCTCCGATTGTCTCCTGCTGGGGGGCTGTTAGCTGGGGTCCTGCTGCTGGTGCCGGCTGCTGCTGTTGCTGTCGCTGCTGGCCAATCCATAGCAGTTCCACTTTCTCCAGATTAAGTCGCTGGCCAGATGCCTGGGCAAATGTTTCCATGGCCTGTAGGAAGGAGGGAACTGATTCCGCGCCATCCAACGTCACTTCCGTGTCATCTGCATATTGGCAGGCGGTGACGGGATTTGGGTCGGACGGTTGCAGCTTAATTCCCACCTCCTGGCTCCGGAGCCAGCATTGGAGAGCTTGGGCGACGAAGAGGTACAGCAGAGGCGCCAGGNGGCAGCCCTGCCGGACACCAGCCTCCATGTCTACCAGCCTGGACTTGTACCCGTTGACCATCGCCCGGGCTCGGGTTTCGCTCAGAAGCAGACGTACCCACGCACACAGCTGTGGCCCTGCCCCCATCGCCTCCATGCCGCTAGGAGAAAGCCGCGATCCACTGTATCGTATGCTTGGCAAAGTCCAGGAATGCCAAAAGCCCTTGGCGGTTCTGCTTGCGGAGGAGGTGTGACAGGTGGCGCAGGAAGAGTACGCTGGCCCCATCAGGCGCTTGGGGAGGAAGGCGGATTGCTCGGGGGTGATGACCCGTCCCAGGGCGGGGCCCAGGCGGTTCGCCAGTACCTTAGCAAGGAGCCGGTAGTCCGAGCATAGTAGTGTGATGGGGCGGTAGTTGCCTGGGAGCTTGGGGTCGCCTTTTTTATAGAGCACTGTGATGATCCCTTCAAGGAAGCCTGCGGGCACCTGCCCGGTCATGCCAATGGCAGTGAACAGGCCTGCCATGGTATTACCTATGGCTGACCAGAATTTCCTGTAGATGTCGGCCGGGATCCCATCCCACCCTGGGGCCTTGCCAGGTGCGCTCTTCTTGAGTGCCTTCCGCAGTTCGGTGGCTGTGATCTTTTTGGCTCCAAGCTGTTCATCTGCCTCTGCCGGGAGCTTAATGTTGGCTGCGGTGAGGGAGTTCAGTACGGCTTGGCGGGCCTGGGGGCAGATGAAGTCCGGGGCCTTGCTCACATCCTTCCAGAAGTCGGCTACCACCTGGGGCAGCTGAGCGGGGTTGGTAACAAGTCGGCCGGACGAGGCTTGCAGGGCGACAGGGGCTGGTTGTTGGTCTACAGCCTGGGCCTGGAGGAAGGCTGTAAGGGAAGGGCTTGGCCTCTCCCCTGCCCGCAGCCAGTGGGTGCGGGCCTCCATGGCATCCTTCCGGCAGTCTTCCCGATGTGCTCGTGCGAGTGTTGCCTGGGCTTCGACCAGTTGTTGAAGTGGCTGTTGTGCTGTGGGGGCTGCATCCACCGCTTGCCTTGCCAGCTGGACCTGCGGTAACACCTCCCGAGCCCGGGCCCCTGGTCTGAGCTTGCGGTGTTGTGCCGCCTTGTTGAGCTGAAGGGCCAGGGTGCTCAGCCGGCGTTTAAAAGCTGGCCACCACGCAATCAGGCCCAAAGGGTTGTCCTCCGCAGATGGTGCTGTGGCACACTGGCTGGTGATCCATGCCTCCATGCTGC